TCTTTGCGCACACAGGCATAGTGCCACATGGAATAGTAATTAATATTGCCCTTTTTGAACTTGTGGCTGATCAGCACCACCTCTATTAGGTAATTCAGTCACGCTCACCTTTGCTTTTCCATCCGGTACTTTCCACATTTCGGCATTTTGGCAAATTTTCGTGTCGCCACTGGCTACACATTGCATTGCGCCCTCGCTTTTGTCGTTTCCCTTACTCCCCTTCCTTTGCCTAGCCCCACCATGGGCCCCTTCCTCTCCTTTTTATTCTCACCCGACGGTCGTTTCTGGGTCCCCATTTTAGTTCACCTCCTCGTCACCTCCACCCTCCTCCTCCTCATCTTCTTTTCTCCCCCACCATTTCTGATGTCACCACTTCCTATCCGCTTCCGTCGCTGATCCGTTGACTACCACGTGCCACTGCTGATATCAGCAAAGCCCCGGCGGCCGGTCCAAATAGGGCAACAGGTCCATCTTCATGACGTCGATCTGCCATCATATACTATCAAAACGTCGGTCGTTCGTCTTGCCTGGTTGGAGCGTGGGTGGGTAGTTTTTGAGCTGGAGAAGGTTCATCCCCTTGCGTCGCCCATGTTCATCGCTGTCCCATTCACTTGGGTACACTTATCATTTGTCCATCGTCTTCGCTACAGCTACACCTACCACACGCTGCCTGGGACTCACTTGTTCCAAATTGGAACTACTCCTCTCCCTCCCTCGTTTGATCAGGTGGTCCAACACAACCAGTCCATTGGTAAGGCCATGGAACTGTTGGATTTGGACTAGGTGGTGGACCGGTGGCTCCAGTTTCTTTTTCTTCAGCAGAACATTCATTTACAGTGTGATTATTTTTGATTTTTGAATCATTTTTATGGACACATATTTTTTTAGAATGCCTGACTGACAATAAAGGAACTGTGTTGATACTGATAGTGTTTTGCCTTGCCCTTTTTTTACTGCATCTTCCCATGACATCATGATTTTCCTGCTCTCCTTTTGCTATTGGACTTTACTTTATGGCTGTACAAACCTGTGATATTACTCACAGCATTTATTGTTCTATCCCTTTCTTTTCCTTATTTTGACAATCTTATCCTGTACTACCTATGCAGGATTTGTCAGCGTACATTCCTTCCTTCATATTCTTTCTCATTCTTTTTGCACAGCTATACTGTGCATAGCCTACTTTTCTTTTACTATATAAACCCCTGTATTTTACCTTGTAAGAAAAACAAGAAATCCAATCTAGACTTCTTCTCTACTCTCAAGTTCACTACTCTGCTACTTGTGATCCAGTGTGGTCACAACACTTACCACTTCTACCACTGTTAACTGCTGTCATTGCCACTCATCACTTTTGAAAGTGATTGTCATCCCCTTCGATTAGAGTCCTTCTGAGCACTACAGTTTGTGCGTCAGGAGCCTGCTATCACTGGGAACCTCGTCACCTTGTCATCCTTGTTGTTCTCAAACCTACCTTGTGCTACCATTAGCAAGGTAGTGCTCGTCTATACTCGCCACAAAGCCCCTATCTTTCTATAAATTCAACTATCCCTCCTCCTCAAAACCCACACTCATACACCTCTGGGTTTTACTTTGAAGGATCTTTATACGTACCACCCCACGAACAACCAGACCACTCCACTGTTCTAGGAGGCAAAGCCCATAAACAAGTTCCGTGGAATCTGGGAGGATTGTGTGTTAGTTTGTTTTGTGTGTGGTTTTCTAACTGCAGTTCTCATCATCGACAGCGTCAAGTGTCATACCTCTCAATTGTAGGCTCCCTCATGTATGCCATGCTTGGAACCCGCCCAGACATTGCCTACATCGTTGGAATACTAAGCAGGCATAGCTCAGCTCCAAGGAGCCATCACTGGGAAGCTGCAAAATGTGTCCTCCGATATCTGAAAGCAACCAGGGACATGGAACTACGATATGATGGCACAGATGTCTCCATGGACATGGATTTCTATGGATATTCAGATGCAGATTGGTCTGGAGACCCAGACACATCTCGATCACCATCAGGGTTTGTCTTTATCACCATCCGAGGAGCAATCTCCTGGACAAGCAAAAGACAAAGCATGGTCGCTTTATCCTCCACGGAGTCAGAGTACATTGGATTGAGCAATGCTGGACAACACCTTGCATGGCTTCGGACATTTTTTGAAGAAATTGGACATGCTCAAAATGGACCTACAACATTGCACTGTAACAATCAAGCAGCTATCATTCTTACACGAGATCCGCAGTTCCGTGCTCGCATAAAACATATTCAACACAAATATCATTTCATCCGAGATGACTTAGTATCAAAGGGAGAGGCAGTAATCAGATACATTCCTACAGGAGATATGGTTGCAGACATTCTCACTAAACCCCTCACTCACGAAAAACACTGGAAATTCTCTAAAGCTATGGGACTACGGTTGCACTTGAGTGGGAGTGACAAAACCAGATAAACCCGGTCTCTGCCAAAGCAGCCATTGTTCTCCATGGAGCATAGCCACCACTCCATGGAGTAACCATTGTTCTCCTAGGAGCACAATTGTACTCCTAGGAGTCATTATACTGTAGCAAGTAGCACCTCCGACTATAAGTAGTAGGGGGTTTAGTATAGGAATACCTCAGTCATTTCTATAGCCTCTCGGGCAGCGGCTGAGGTATGTTACATTACATTTATTAGAGATCACCTTAAACTAACATCTATTGTAGTTTCACTTAGGTAAATAATAAAGTCGTTTCTATAGCCTCTCGGGCAGCGGCTGAGTTTCACTTAGTTTTATTAGTTAGTTTATTTGACAAAGAAAATTGCAAGAACATGGCCAATCAGCTAATTACAAAGTCAAAAGTAGCTTTAAATGGAACAAGTATTTACATTAGATCATTTATCGGAAGCACCCCTACTTTGACTGCGATACTAGTTTGCTAAGGATATCGTCATATTTATCAAAAGTTACGTTATCACCCAGGGTTAACTCGTCAAATGGAGCACAAGCACAAGGAGTGCTATGGAAGGTATGTGTTGCTTGTGCATCATCACGAGAGCCGAAGCCTTTGCGAAACATCAGGTGCAGATGGAAAAAGCATGGTCCGAATGCTGCCAAATACCGGCCAGTCAGGTATTCGTCCCATTTCGGCGTAGACGTTATGAATGTATGTTTCGTCTTATATAGTTGCCTTGTCCCTTCTTCGTCCCATTCTTGGAAGAGAGGGTTTTCCACCACATGACCTTGGTCGTCGAAACGGCCTGCATGCCGAATCATGACATAGAGAAGAGACTCCAGGTCATGTCGATACAAATGCTCCGGATCATCACCATAGAGTAGATCTATGGTCATGTAGGGCTTGGTGCCTGTGCGTTGCTTCGATGTAGGTTTAGATTGTGTTTTGGTACTTGCCAAGTCAAAGTCGTTAAGGACTCCGCAGATTGTTCCGTTCCGAGAACGGTACATCACATTTGAGTAGCTAATATCACGATGCAGTGTCCCGGCCTTTTCAAACAGCCACCTGATAGCTACATAAAATGTCAGAAGAGTGGAGTGCAACATGAATGTGGTACCTACCTTTGAAAATATCGTAAAAAATGGTTGCCATGAGCATTTGATCCTTCACACTGGTAATCTTAAAAAGCCCCTCCTGAACGAGGATTCTCAGCTGTCGAGGCTCGTAGTCCGTCTTGAAATACTCCTCAATACCCTTCTGAGGGGTAATTATAGCCTGATCGAAGTCTTCCGCGTGTATCATGTTAGGTAAATATGCAAGGATGGAGGGGTCCAAGTTTTCACTGCGTTCATATATATGATTCAAGATTTTTGACTCGGATTGTCGTGATTGAGCAGGAAAACTAAACTTCACGATCAACACCCGGCCTACAGGTTGTTTGAGAATGACAGGAGAACCCGGATCCGCAGAAGCTTGGACCACTAATGTACCTCGTCCGATGAGGCAGTGCTGCTGATACAGCGTGTTGGATAACTTGAGGCGCGAGCCATCTTTAAGATGAATAACCTTGCCAGAAAAAGTGGTTTTGGAAACCATGCGTCTCTTTGACTCCGCTTGAGCTGGATTATTGTACCCGAGGTTTTTTCCGAATATTTGGTTGTGACCCCAGTCCGTACTTCCAAGTTGCACGAGGCCGTACAACATGGATAAAAACTGGGCATGCTCATGCATGAAGTTAAGAGGCTCCGACATGACAATGATAGACCTGTCATAGAAGAGGAGGTAAATGAATTGGTCCACTATCAGCGCGCTGATGACATAGTCTCTGAATCCACCGCGTGACAAGAGCTCGAGGGCATAACTTCCACATTGTACCAAGGTATCTAATTTCCCAGTAGGAAGTTTCCTAGTGATAGTCCGGGGAGGTGCCGCAGGTGGCTTCGACCTTTTGGACTTGCTACTGTCCCTGCCCTCCGATGTGGCAGGCCTCTTTCCAGGGTTGGGAGGGACCGCGAGGGAGGCAGTTTCAGCCGCTGTCTGTGCAGTCACGGACCCCATCGTCGCCGCTCGGAGGTCAGATTGGGGAGCTATATCCTCAAGGGCTGACAAACCACCAGCTTGCAATATAGTCGTTGCATTTGGAGTCATATTGTCGCGGAGAGGAGAATCATCGTTCTGCAGAATTGGAATGAATCTGGACCAGGCTGCGTCAGCAGGTAAACTGTTCAGCTTTTTGTTTTCCATTTTGAACTCGAAGAAACAGAGCAGTTCTGACCAGCAAAATGGAAAGGATTTTGGTCGCTCATCAGAATAGTTGGCCGTGGCATCGGTGTGGACCATGACAACGTCTGGCTTTCGCGAAGAACGGGATCCTGAAATAAGTATGGGATCATTTCGACGGAATGTAACATTGGATTTGTCGCCATCGAAATAGAAATGCGACAATGCCCGCTCAACCAATTTTATGAAGGGAACATATCTATCGGTTTCATTCTTCATTTCTTCACCATACATCTTCAATAGCTGCGTGTAGTGTACGTCCTTGCATAAATCTCTGACAACCTTCGTATTGCATTCCGGCCAGTTTGTTGCAACACCTAAGACGTACTCCAAGAATTTTGCAAACGATATACTCCTCGTATTGGAGATATCCTGTGAAATATATGGCTTGTAGTCATCTTGCGTGGGTTTTGTGTCGTGAAAGTGATTGCTTGCGCAACCGTTGTTCTGCGGCGTAGACGTAGACTGCGCTTTTGCGGAAGCAATACGCGTCGGGGTAGTAGGGTTCAAGTTAGACATTTATTTATTGAGAGGTTTGAGAGAATTGTAGGTTTAGATGCGAGATTGGGAATTTGTTGTAAGAAGGAGAATAAATTAGAGCCGTTTAAATAGACCTGGGAGTTACTCACGGAATCTTCTGGAGATTGACTTTCTGAAAATAACATTTCCCCAGCTACAGACAAGGATGACCTATGCAATCTAGATGATATATCAGCAGACGTTATATACCACTTCCATCTCGTTCCTAAGAATTGTGGCAACTCTGAACCTTCGAACCAGTCCTTTCCGGCTATATCCGCAAGGTCGCCACGACTTCCAAATCTGGTTGTAACATTCCAGCACTGACTATTAGAGTCCCAAAGCTTCAATTAGATGTAGTATAGATGAATCCCCCACAAACGCGCAGAACACATATGGTGGCACTTACTCTGTGTTTAAGTTCTTGCCTTCGAATGGAAAGTTCATGGTTTGCCTCGTAACAATTATTGAAGTTTTGACACCACAGGTTCGAGTCTTGTAGCCTAGTAATCAGAAGGAGTATTGGACGTTTTTTCCATTCTCGTCGGCGTCGTCCATTCACCAAGGCTTGTCGAGGATTGATGGTAGGTCTCATGTGATCTTCTGCTTGTTGTTATTCTGTTGTTGACGATTCTGCGTAGGTAACCCTTTTGACATATCGGTATCTCTTCATTTGCGAGGCCAGGTGAGGCTCAAGTACCGCTCCACTCACATCGAACCCAATGAGTTTTCAACATCACGATCATATTTACGCGCCGGCTTTACTCAAATAAGGACCAGACTCACCATTTTTTGCGGCTGGCCTCCTGCATCGCAGCTTTCGAGCTCGATTTTTTCTCGCCTTCTCTTCACCAGCCTGTTCACGGCCTTTGGGACTAAAGAGGCTTCATAAACATTGTTGTAACTTGCAATTTCGTAAGTAGAGAATACGAAGCCGATCGCCAGGCTATATTCTAGATGACGGAGGCGAAGTTGTAGCGTGTTTGCCTGTTGGGATGTAAATCGGCGATATTTCAGTTTGCAGGATCGGGATAATGAGGGGACCAGCGGGTGTATGACTGCGGGCAGAGCGGGCTAGCTTCCCATATATTCAGCAGATGATTTGGATAGCGTATCTGCGAGAGTGTGTAGGGTCAGTGATGCGACGGGCACAGAAAACGGGGAAGGAAAGGACATACATATTCAGTAGCTGGCATCTGTGCTAGCGCTCTGCTGGGATGCCATGTCACGATACGGTTATAGATGGATTACGAGCCAATGGAAGATTTCAGCTTTTCCTGAAGTGTTCGTTAGATTGACCTGTGCAAGTTGGGCAGCCCGGTATCATAGCCTCGTCATCTTTGCGCGTGCCAGGGCGTCAATCCAAGTATCACTTAGATAACATGAGTATTCCAGGGTCCTCGACCTTGGGTGTCGATGGTGTGGCGCAATCCCAGACTGTCGACGCTCACAACAGTCACTTCAACTATGTTCATGGCAATGGCCGCCAAGTAAACAATGAGATCCATGGAAATCAAATAAATAACATAAACCAATACCATCAAGACTTAGGTGCGAATCATGTCTCTTTTCGCCGAGTCTATCTTACATTATAGTCTAATACATATAATTTTCCAGCTAACGCACGCGAAAATCTCGCGGAGTGGCTATCTCCTCTCAACTTCCCTCAACGGCAGAGCAATGTCAATGAAATTCGACAAGAGGGAACAGGAAATTGGGTGCTCGATGACGAGAGGTTCAAGGAATGGAAAACAGGAGATGTGAAAACACTTTGGTGCCCTGGGATTCGTAAGTACATCACAATCATGGTCTAAGTTCACATATTGATAAGGAACCAGCTGGAGCTGGGAAGACCGTTCTTGCGTAAGTCTACTAGGTCCTAAGTGACCTCAGTCTATCTTGACTCGTTATCGCTACTTTTTACTTTTTAGTTCTTACATCATCGATCATCTGGCCAAGCAACACAATCGCGATAATGATAATGTCGCAGTGCTCTATTTCTATTGCAATCACAAAGACCAATCAACACAGACAGTCTATAATCTTGTGGCAAGCCTCTTGAAGCAACTCGTTCAAGATTTCACCCCTACCTTCGAGCGCGTCAAAACTGAATACAAGTCTCATTGAGTAAAGAAAGTCAGACCAACTCTATCCGAGGTTTGCAATACGTTAAAGAAGGAATTCTTCGAGTTCTCTCGAGTTTTCATCGTTGTCGACGCTTTGGACGAGGTATCCGAGGACGACAGTCGTGCTGAGCTTCTCACTAGTCTCCAAGCAATTGGAGCCAGCTTATTGGTAACCTCTCGTGACATTCCAATTATCGGAGCAGCTCTTCGTGGCAACCAACGTATGGATATCCGTGCACGTCATGACGACATATGCAAATATATCGAAGGCCGTATTCGTTCAGGGAGCCACCTTACACAGTTGAGCAGACTCCTGGATAAACATGCACATGTAAAACAAAAAGTTCTTGAGTGTCTTCCAGAAAAAGCGCAGGGGATGTGCTGTCCATTTCGTTTTACAAGGTTGTCTAAGGTTTCTACTATGTCGTTTGCATCTGGACTCTTTATCCCGCAAGATCACACCTCGTGGCGTGTTGGACGCTCTCAACCATCTGCCAAAGGGGATGGATGATGCGTACAATGAAACAATGGAAAGGATTGGCCAATTGGACGAGGAGCGTCGATTGCTCGCTTTGAAGACCATCATGTTGATAGCCAATGCCTTCGAACCTCTGGAAACACGGCAACTTCGAGAAGGTATAGCCTTTTCAAGTGATCTCTCCGAGATCAATAACGATGACCTGGTGGATGAAACCACCATAATGGATATATGCGCTGGTCTGGTTATTATTGATACAGTAGTAACGTATTCGGGTGATCGTGTGTTTCGGTTCGTTCGTGAGTGTCTTGGCTCATAATTTAATACATGGCGGATGCTCACTAGATGTTCCATAAGATTACACTGCACAGGAACACTTTGAAAAATATGAAGGGTGGCCTTTCGCAAATCCTCATGCAGAAATCACCAGGATGTGCCTGGGAGTCTTGTCCCTGCCGCGTGCCCACAGTTTGGAAGCTATGGAGTTTGTATCTTATGCCAGACGATATTTGGGAAATCACGCGCGTGGGTCTGTCGAGGAGACAGATCAGGCGATGATACAGGGTTTTTTAGGTTGTGGCGAGAGAGTTGAAAGGATACTGGATCTCGTGGGGTTTTTTTTGGATGGGGGTTCAGCGTTGCATTTTTGTGCCTATTTCGGTCTAGCTCTAACCATGGATTATCGGTTGAAAAATGGCGATATCGTAGACCAACGAAACGGCGTGGTGATACACCACTGCACATCGCTGTAGAAGAAGGGCATGTAGCGGTAACACAACTACTGCTCGATCGAGGCCATGACGTCAATCCAAAAGACGAGGATGGCCTGACGTCCCTCTCGATCGCAGCCCATAACGGGCTTTGGGAAGTCGCGAAACTGCTCTTAACGAGAAGTGACATGGATGTAAATTCGACGGATACAGAAGGTCAAACACCCCTCTTAACTGCAGCTTGCGACGGGAGGGCGGATATCGTGAAATTATTGTTGGCAAGACAGGACTTGGATGTTAACTTTAGGGATGACAGTGGTGTAGGTTTGACGCCCCTCTCAGCTGCAACTGGTGCAGGGCACACGGATACCGTTAAATTATTGTTGGCAAGACAGGACGTGAACCCCAACTCGGAGGGTTTTGAAGATTGGACACCCCTCTCAGTTGCAGCTAGTCAAGGGGACACGGATATCGTTAAATTATTGTTGGCAAGGCAGGATGTGGATGTAGATTTGACGGTTGGAGATGGTCGGACACCCCTTTCACTTGTAGCTGGGAATGGGGAAAAGGAAGTTGTTGAATTGTTCTTGGCAAGGCAGGACGTGGATGTCAACTCGAAGGATGCCAATGGTCGGACACCACTTTCATATGCGGGATGGCAAACGAGGAGGTTGTTCGGCTGCTACTCTCAAGGGAAGATGTTGTGCTGGGCCCGCTTGAATTCGACATCTGTATGGCACTTATATTCCGGTACTACCCTTATCTGAGGGGATTAGCGCACTTGTTCCTCGCACGGTGGACATCGGTAAACTTCCGTGTTAGCTGCAAGGATAAAACACCCTTGTCTCTGGCGGCCTGGTATGGCGACGAAAAGTCAGTGAAATTATTATTGGCTTGCCACGATATCGACGTGAACGCGATCCCAGAGTGGAGTAGTATACCACCACTATGGGCTGCAGCTGATCGGGCATTTTGCGGACATAATCTAGTTTCACCCGTTGGCTCTTCCATAAACCAAGACATCAGCGTGGTTGTTGGTGATAATCAACAGTAAGCACACTTAGTGATGGGGGCTCTAGAAGTAACTGTGTTCATACAGTGATGATTCTCAAGGCAATGTGGACAACAGCGTAAAATCAGAGGAAGAGGCAATCATCATGCATTTGCTTACACGACACGACATCCACGTCAACTGGAGAAACGAACGGGGGAAGACACTCCTGCACATAGCTGTGGAATGAGGAAGCGAGTTTCTCGTGGAACACTTACTTTCTAGATACGACATTCAGGTGAACCTACAAGATGAAAATGGTGAATCGCCACTGGACTGTGCAGTGCGTTGTGGATGGGAGAGGGTGGTCTCTTTACTTGCTCAGCAGAAGAATATTGTACTCGATTTGACGTCAGGACATACTGTGCTGCGTTGCGCTAGCATCGCAGTAGACAATAATGAAGAACAGATGATCCAATGTACATCTGTGGATAAAGGAGAGGCAATACCAGAACTCCCCCTGGGACAGGATGTCGCTGCATTGGACTTGCCGGGTGACACTGGATTAAGGTCGCTCGAGCCCACACATCCCATGAAAGCCCTACATCTGCGTCACTAGGTCCTTCCCATGACGAACAAACCCCACAGTTTTTAGTTCCCGGAAGAGAAAGGAAGAGAAAAAGATGGGTTTCTCGAAAGGTAATACAAGGATTTGCATTGATAGGGAAAACAATTTTTTGCATCAGGTAGTAGATTAGGATAGTATTGGTACCCCAATCGATACCCATCCTCCAAACCTAGGTCACTTTCGCTGGTCCAAAAAGCATCTTTGAGCGCAATAAATGTAATTTCTAACATCCAATGGGTACTCCCCACACTCATAGAAATGATAACTATAAGACCATACTGATTGTGATGGATCGGTCCATTGAACCTGCATCTTGGCCTACGTGCTCTTCAAGCCTCCACCATGTTAAAACTAGGTTCTATCAGCACTATAATGAATGTATGAATAGTAAAGAAGAACTGTAACATACCCTTCAGTAGATCATAATCAACTGAAGGGGAAAACGAACGAAAGAACTAGCGAGTATATAAGACGAGGATACAAGTCACGTGTCCCCGACTCTAAACGTTAGTTGAGGTGAGGAGGGTTCTGTGGGTAGCAAACGGCCATCGCTCTGTCGATTGCTCTGCAAAATGAGGTAAATTAAATTTCTGATTAGTAATGCTGTGTTCTTCCTTTTTTATATAATTACTTCCTTTTCTGTAACATATTGTGTTTGCGATCCGCATTATTTACACTCCGACTGTATAGTATTTGATCTCCGCCACTATTCACTATTTAGGACTCACACTTAGGCTCGTACCCAGCCAGATCACTGGGTTGAATTTCAGTTACTAGCCGAAATTGTCTTCGAGCACACCTGGGACCGCTCGTCGCCATTTTGTTAGTCTCCCTTGCTTACCTAATTCAATATATGATGAGTCAATATCTTGTAAATAAGGTCTGCACCAAAGTAAGACCATTTGGCGTGAACCCCCCCTTCGTGTGAGGCAATGATAAACTATAACAAAAACGAAACCTGTCTCCTTCTGCACTTGCAGGGAGTAATGGGTTCGATGAGCTTGAGGTCGACAGACGCTAGTAAATATAGCGAGTAGAGGACTTTGAGAGGTAAGTTCAAAGGTTTTCGTTGAGGAGTAAAACGGTGTCATGCACCAAAGTTGATTGGTAGCATGGACAGGTGTCAATAACGAAGTGAATATTCAAAAAGACTTGCCTTTGCGCCACACAGGCACAGTGCCACGTGGAATAGTAATTAATATTGCCCTTTTCGAACTTGTGGCTGATCAGCACCACCTCTATTAGGCAATCCAGTCACGCTCACCTTTGCTTTTCCATCCGGTACTTTCCGCGTTTCGGCATTTCGGCAAATTTTTGCGTCGCCACTGGCTACACATTGCATCGCGCCCTCGCTTTTGTCGTTTCCCTTACTCCCCTTCCTTTGCCTAGCCCCACCATGGGCCCCTTCCTCTCCTTTTTATTCTCACCTGATGGTCGTTTCTGGATCCCCATTCTAATCCACTTTTCCGTCACCTCCACCCTCCTCCTCCTCATCTTATTTGCACCCCCACCATTTCTGATGTCACCACTTCCTATCCGCTTCCGTCGCCAATCCGTTGACTACCACGTGCCACTGCTGATATCAGCAAAGCCCCGGCGGCCGGTTCAAATAGGGCAACAGGTCCATCTTTATGATGTCGATCTGCCATCATATACTATCAAAACATCGGTCGCTCGTCTTGCCTGGTTGGAGCGTGGGTGGGTAGTTTTTGAGCTGGAGAAGGTTCATCCCCTTGCGTCGCCCATGTTCATCGCTGTCCCACTCACTTGGGTACACTTATCTTTTGTCCATTGTCTTCGCTACAGCTACACCTATCACACGCTGCCTGGGACTCACTTGTTCCAAATTGGAACTACTCCTCTCCCTCCCTCGTTTGATCAGGTGGTCCAACACAACCAGTCCATTGGTAAGGCCATGGAACTGTCGGATTTGGACTAGGTGGTGGACCGGTGGCTCCAGTTTCTTTTTCTTCAGCAGAACATTCATTTACAGTGCAATTATTTTGATTTTTGAATCATTTTTATGGACACATATTTTTTAGAATGCCTGACTGACAATAAAGGAACTGTGTTGATACTGATAGTGTTTTGCCTTGCCCTTTTTTTACTGCATCTTCCCATGACATCATGATTTTCCTGCTCTCTTTTTGCTATTGGACTTTACTTTATGGCTGTACAAACCTGTGACATTACTCACAGCATTCATTGTTCTATCCCTTTCTTTTCCTTTTTTTGACAATCTTATCCTGTACTACCTACGCTGGATTCATCAGCGTACATTCCTTCCTTCATGTTCTTTCTCATTCTTTTTGCACAGCTATACTGTGCATAGCCTACTTTTCTTTTACTATATAAACCCCTGTATTTTACCTTGTAAAAAGGAACAAGAACTCCAATCCAGACTTCTTCTCTACTCTCAAGTTCACTACTCTGCTACTTGTGATCCAGTGTGGTCACAACACTTCCCACTTCTACCACTGTCAACTGCTGTCATCGTCACTTCCCACTTTTGAAGTCATTGTCATCCCTTTCGATTAGAGTCCTTCTGAGCACTATAGTTTGTGCATCAGGAGCCTGCTATCACTGGGAACCTCGACATATTGTTGTTCTCAAACCTACCTTGTGCTACAATTAGCAAGGTAGTGCTCATCTATACTCGTCACTAAGCCCCTATCTTCTATCAATTCAACTATCCCTCCTCCTCAAAACCCACACTCATACATCGCTGGGTTTTACTTTGAAGGATCCTCATATATACCACCCCACGAACAACCAGAGCACCCACTGTTCTAGGAGGCAAAGCCCATAAACAAGTTCCGTGGAATCTGGGAGGATTGTGTGTTAGTTTGTTTTTGTGTGTGGTTTTCTAACAACAGTTCTCATCATCGACACCGGTGAGGCTATGTCATGCGGAGACAAGGTTCACAGGGTTATACATCCTGGCATTCCCATCAAGTGTGTCAACCGTGAGGAAGGCTGTGCCATTACAACTACTCGAGCAGCTCTTGCCAATTATCCATGTCCAACATGCTTGGTTCACCATAACGACTGACACAAGATCCATCAAATATTTGAGGCAAGATCAACTGAGACTATGAGGCAAGTTTGTCAAGTTTATATTGACTCTATTTGGGCACCAACAAAAAGCGAGGCCCAGAAAATATTACAAGACCACGGATTGCATGCAACAGTGGTACACCAATCGTTTTCTTTTTAATTCATGTCTACTCAACTTAATTACACAGAATCTTTTCTGGTCTATGAAATTCTCCAACCCTTACAAATCCATAGCGTATGACAAACTCCATTCAGATGACCTTGGGAAATGGGGCAAGCACTTATGGCCTTTGCTTTTGAATGTTTTAACCGAAGATGGCAACAAAGGGTGCTGTAAAGACCCTAGCTGTATGCCGGTGACCCGAGCAGCGTAGGACTTAAATCTCAACAAGTGTTCAGACAAGCAAGTATAAAAGAGTAAATCTACAACTGGGGTATGTACATGGATATCGTGCTAGTTATATAGGAAAGAGCATGAGGCTACGGTGAGGTATGACGTAGCGTATTGGTAACTAACATGTGTATGTAGTGAGGCTGATTGGTAATGTGTATTACTAATAGATCACGTGATACTTGATAAGATTAGATCAGAGAGAGATTAGATAAGGTGAAACAAGAGTCTCTATCTCTCGATTAGATAAGAAAGCTGAGTCAGATGGGTACGATCGTGACATTACCCCCTCCTTAGGACTTTCGTCCCGAAAGTGAGAGTCTAGTTTGCCCGTTTCCCAATTGTATAGTGATTTTCGAATTCTAGTTGGAATAGTAAAGTTTTTGAAGGTTTGATAGTTTAAAGTAAATTCTATCCTTCGAGGTGCACTAGGGTTTTTGTTATGAAACTGTTTTACAAGTTTCGATGAATGTTTCAGGTTTGACTCGGTTTCCCATGTGCGATCCTCTTTAGGAAAGTCTTTCCAATGTACTAAGTATTCTAGTTTCCCACGTTTCAATCGTGAGTCTAGAACCTCTTCTACTTCGTATTCTTTAATTCCGTCCACTATCACCGGTGGTGCGGTTTTTGGTTTTTTCTGTGTTTCGAATTCGGGTTCTCTGAATGGTGTTAGCAGTTTCTCGTTAAAAACCGGATGTATGTTCTTCCATCGTCCGGGAAGTTTCAGCTTATAGGCTCCTTCGCCCATTTTCTTTTCGATGGAAAAGGGTCCGTGTCTTTTATCGTCGAGTTTTTTTGCAGGTCTATCGGTAGTAATATGTTCTGCTTCAACATATACCTTGTCGCCTTCTTTGTAAAGGATAGCCTCTCTTTTCCCTTTATCGTACTGTTTTTTCATGTTTTCTGCTGCTTTTACCAGCGATTTTTCTGCTTCTTTCCTCGTCTCTTCCATCCTCTTCACAAACTCTTCCGCACTTTCCGTCTTCACCGTACTTCTAATTCCCTTCGCGAC